CCGCTGTCCCCGGGCCGGGAATGGCCCGTGGTGCCCCGGGGTATGTGCGGTGACACAGCCCCTCTGCCACCCCCTGTTGAATGTCGCAGAACCAAAGCACAGCAGACCAGGCTGGTCTGGGGTCCACTGGCCCGGGGTGCTTCAAGCCCCGTTCAACCTGGCCTTGAATACTCTCAGGGATGGGGCTGCCACCCCCTGAATCACAACCTCAAAATGCTTCCAGTTAAAGAAATGGTTTGTGTAGTTTTAGTTTAGCAAAGACCCGCAGCTGTCAGGGAGAGAGAGGTCCAGAAGGACAGCGGGGTAGCGCAACGGAAACTGATTTTCCCCTTCTCAGCAGTGTCTGCGTGTTTAGTCGTGGTTGTACCTTACCTCTGATTATCACTCAGTCAGTCTGAAAGATGCAGCTCAGTCAGTCCTGCTTGAGGGACCTCAATACATAGATCACTCCACACACTCAGCAGTATCTTTTAGATGTAGCTATTACTGCTTTTGGCTACAGACTGTCATTACACTCTTCAGTGAAATAACAAAAATATTAATGGTTACCTGATTTGTTAATAATCTAGGCTTCAGTGTTTTCTCTTTGCATAGATCCCTTGCTTTTGCTTTTCTCATTGACTTGGTTTTGGGAGTCCTTCACACCACTGAGCAACACCCAGCCTCACACCTGTGGAGGAATTAATCCCAATATCATGTGTACAAAATAAATGTGTTTGCACTTTTGTATTGCTTGAAAGCATTTTCAGGTTGTGATTCAGGCAGTGGCTGCCCCTGGATCCCTGGCAGTGCCCAAGGCCAGGCTGGACAGGGCTTGGAGCACCCTGGGACAGGGGAAGGTGTCCCTGCCATGGCAGGGGTGGCACTGGGTGGGCTTCGAGGTCCCTCCAGCCCAAACCAGTCTGGGATTCTGTGATTTTTCCATCTCTTGTTTCCATCAGTAGTTTGTGTGAGACACAGGGAGTACCTGCATGTCTAGGGCAAGATGAAGTGAGAGAGGGAGACTGTGCAGGGCCAGCTGCTGTGAGGGTGTCACCTCAGGTACAGTGAGCAATGCAGTCCTCTCCTGTGGTGTACCTGCTTGGCTTGACACATAAACTGACCGAAAAGCGTTTCTTGCACATGTTCCAGTAAATATTTCACTTCTTTGGAAGTCCAGTTATACCATTTGGACACCATAATGACTATTTTATTTTGTGTAATGAATTGTCTAGGAACTGGGAAATCTGGCATGGAGGAGATAGTTGTCTCATAAATCAGAGCTTTCCTTTTTCTAGCTAGATCTAGTTTAAGTGGTTCTACACTATTTTCCTAGAGGTGTAGTCATCTTTTGCATTGTAAGTCCATTGAATGACTTAAAAATAACACCTGATACAACTCTTCAGTTTTGGAACTGTCTTTTGAATTGAAATTTTCATATTACACTGCTGCCTTTACCTACCATTTCACTACATTTTGTCCTTTACTGGCAATTTTAGGTAACAGTGGAACCAACAGGAAAAGAGAGACTGTCAGAAGTAGAGATGGTGAAAGAGGACAGGGATCACAGGTGGGCTGCTGCTCTGGGATCTCATTAAGCAGCTAAATGTGTACATTTCTCCCACACCTGTAACACTGCTGGTAAAGCTGAGGTCTGCCAAAGGCTTTGAGTCTGCTTTTGTGATTGATTTGTGGTGGTACAGCCTTATGCTTAATGGACAGAAAAAAAATACATGTGTCTATATATATTGAGATATATATCTATGTAAAATATCTAAAAGTAGAAAGTCTTCAATAACATGTATACAGTTGGAAAGTTACACAAAGTTAAAGCCTCCCCTGTTTCAATACAGGCTGAAAATAAAGCAACATTAATTGATTTTTATGATCCAAACTATGAGAAGAGCAAAGAGCAAAAAGAGAAGCTGGAAATGCCCAAAGCCAGCTAGGAATCCAAACACACAGTCTGTATTAAATGCAAATTAATCTTAGGTTTTCATCAGCTTTAAGTCTTAGGATAATGTGATGTTTTGATTCTTTCTGTGTACCACTGGAAACAGTGCAGTGTAGGCAGTGGTCAGACATTCTGATGAGGCAGTTCAGGCTCTTTTCTGCCTGCCTAATCTGATAAACCTGTCCCTAAGGTCACAGGACAGGTGGATTTGCTACATCTGCTGTGAAGTAGGCACGAGGCAGCTCCTGCAGTGCAAGAGAAGTTGCCAGAAGCCCAGTGATCCTGCTCTCCTTACTTAAAATGCTTTAAATGGCAATCATAGTTCAGCAGAATTTTCCAGAGGGCTTTGGGATTGTTCATTTTGTTGAAACAGGAAAATGCCAGGCCTAGAGACATGAAGATTGCTAGTTTAGTCATTAGCATCCCACCTACTCTGTGCATTCTTCCCTTGGAAATGGCAAATTATTTCACCCTGTAGGTTAATTCTCTCAAAAAGTCACCCTCAGTTAGCACAAAGCCTTCTTTTGGCTCAAACATGGTGGCAAGTCCTGTTTGAGCAAACACGTTTGGCACTGGTGCCTGGAATTAGCCAAACTCTGCAGAGCACTAGAAAAAATTAGTTCTTCAGCTGAACAAAGTCAGTAATAGTCAGCAGTACAAATGTAGGGGCAGATAAAGGGGTAGCCAGCAAAAGTCAGACACCCACAAGTGGATACAGGAAAGCAGAGGCTGTTGCACCAGGAATCCAAATCCTGCAGGGATTAACCCCCTCTGGAATCAAATAGGTAAATAGTGTTATATTACCCACATGGAAGTAAAACTTAGCTATGTCAGCTTCTCCAATGTGAACATTCAGAACTTCCCCCAAAGAGTACACTTATATTAAGTATTTAATTAATATTTATTAGTTATCTGAAGCTGCTCTTTGTTCTTTAGTCAACTAAAATGATGCCAGCTTCCTCCAGCTCCTCCTACAAAATGTTTTGCCAGATGCTCCATTTGTTAACACATTTTAGTGTACTGACACTTGGAAAATAAATGTATCCCTTTACTCATAATTCACAGATTCAGATTTCTAGAGCTACTTCTGTGAACAATGTGAAACCAAGGAGTGCTGCCGTGGGGCTGCTCCTGTTGTGTGAATTGACCCAGACTGGTAACCAAGGGCAACCCTCAACCCACAGCCCAAATGCACAGAGCAGATTTATTTCACTACACAATTTATATTCTATTCAAGCTGACCTCTGAGTCTTTCTACCCCACATTTCCAATATACATTCCTGCTGAAGGGCTGTCATTCCCAGGGAGAATTTACTGTCCTGCTGGGGCTCTGCTCTCACCCACACCTGAGTGTGCCTGGGCAGGGCAGGGCAGGGCTGGTGCACAGCAGTGAGTGTGTCAGTGTGCCTGGCCTGCACAGCAGTGAGTGTGTCAGTGTGCCTGGGCAGGGCTGCTGCAGCAGTGGCACTGCCACACCAGTGGCACTGCACACTGGAAGCCATCACTTACTGATTTCAAAATCTATTGGGGAAAAAAAATAGAGGTTCTGGAACTTCTCCAAATAGAATGCAATTATATGAAGGTAGTTTATGAAAGGACTGACTTTTCAGAATACAGTCATCTGGTCAAGTAGCTGAGTAGAAAATGCTCCAGATACTCTTTTAATCTTTATTAAAGAGTGTTCTTGATTCATATTCTTGATTCATATTCTTCTTAAAATACCTACATTAGGGATGCCTTTCTGAGCATCTCTGAAGTTTCAGAAGGCTTTTTGTCTTTCTCTGACAAATGTGATTCTCATCCCTTGGAGAGGACTGGTGCAGCTCTGTGAAAGGGTTTTAATGTGGATCTGTGATCTGTTCCCACCATTAAGCATCTTGAAAAGAACAGAGCTGCACTGGCTGACTTTGTGAAATAAAGTCCATTAGCATTGTTGGAAAAATAATTTATTCAAGTATGTGGTAGATAGTGTAATAACTGAATGAATAAATTTTATTTAAATATTTGCTGCAAAAATTATCATGCAGAATTAGAGATAAAAGCTGGACAATGAACAGCAAGCAGTTAGCAGCACACAGGCCTGTTGTATCACCTAATCCCTGCAGGACTCTTCTATTTTTATATATTCTTTTTAGCAAATTTGTCTTTTAAAACCCTATTTATGCTGAATCCTAATACTGGTTTTGCAGACTTGGGAAGCCAAGGTTTGTCTGTTTAGCAAAGTTTCTGGGAACCCACATGAGTTCATTTTTGGAGATTCTGGACCCCCCCGTTGCAGCTGCAGGCTGGGGAAGCTGTGGCTGCTTGGCCCCTTTGTGGCTGAAACTTCTACCAGCACAAGAAAGGTGTGCAAAAGAGGGGTTTAGGCTCCACAATCTCTTCAGGTTTTTAAGTAGCCTAGGTACCTTGGTGGATTTTCCCAAATTATGTACAAATCTTTTGAAGTCCCATTTCTTTTTTTTTTTTTTTTCCCAAAAAGCTTAGAATCACAGAACAGTCAGATCACGTTGGATTTTAATTTTAAGGATACTTTGTTTCTAAATAATTGGGAGGTTTTTAAAATTAATCCCTAGCTTCATTAATGGGAGGGATTTTTTAACAAGACATGCAGGGAAGTGATGGGAATAGATGAAAGCCCTTTTCTTCATCACCTACTACTTAGTGCTTGAAATTGATTTTGAGATAA